AGGGTCACATCTAGTGTCACTACTTGCTCCTATTACACGGTCGTCACGCACGCATGGGTGTGCATCAGCGCTGCAAAACACATGCACAGCTTGAAACTGTCTTGCAATCCACCTGAATTGAGTGAGAACAAGCTGAGATTTCGTGGATGACAGCACCTCAGCTTCAAGTTTTATGGGGACGATGTTTTGCGTCAGCCTGAGATATCCGTAGCCGTTCATGGGTTCGTTTTGTTTACATTCTCAAATCTTCTTCGCCACAAGTGCATATAGCTTCTGACCTTTGTGCACAGTTTTATAGTTACTGAGGTTACGTGCGTGTGGTCCACACTTCGCTAGGGCGCGGTGTTGTCGCGCTGGCTGCAGAGCTTCTCCTAACGGCAAGAAGGCCCCAGAGCTCATCTTGGCCTTGACTACGGAGCAGTGCGAAACACTTTAGAACTGCGCGTGATACTGTACTTACTTTATTACGATACGCCAAAAATGCAAAGAGATATGCTTGGATGCATATATTAGAATGTCCACCTAGGCAGAGTGAGGTGTCTCATGGAAAGAGGTGATTCTAGATGAAATAGCCAAGTTCATTGGGCATCTCATTTATAGAGGGATTATTCATCATCATCATCAGCCTGACTACGTCCACTGCAGGACAAAGGCCTCTCCCATGTTCCGCCAGTTAACCCGGTCCTGCTGCTTGCTGCTGCCAATTTATACCCGCAAACTTCTTAATCTCATCTGCCCACGTAACCTTTTGTCTCCCCTAACCCACTTGCCATCTCTGGGAATCCAGTTAGTTACCCTTAATGACCAGTGGTTATCCTGTCTACGCGCTACATGCCCGGCCCATGTCCATTTCTTCTTCTTGATTTCAGATATGATATCCTTAACACCCGTTGTTCCCTAATCCACTCTGGTGTCCTTGTCTCTTAAGGTTGCACCTACCATTTTTCTTTCCATTGCTCGCTGCGTCGTCCTCAATTTAAGCTGAACCCTCTTTGTAAGTCTTCAGGTTTCTGCTCCGTAGCTAAGTACCGGCAAGATACAGCTGTTATATACCTTCCTCTTGAGCGATAGTGGCAATCTACCTGTCATAATTTGAGAGTGCTTGCCAAATGTGCTCCACCCCATTCTTATTCTTCTAGTTACTTCAATCTCGTGGTTTGGCTCCACGGTTATTACCTGCCCTAAGTAGACACAGTCTTTTACAACTTGAAGTGCGTTGAACGGCGTTGAACTATTACCTATCACAAAGCGCTGCTCTCTTCCGAGGTTGTTGTACATTACTTTTGTTTTCTGCAGAATAATTTTAAGACCCACCTTTCTGCTCTTCTTGTCTAACTCCATAATCATGAGTTGAAATTCGTCCCCTGAGTTACTCAGCAATGCAATGTCATCGGCGAAGCGCAGGTTACTAAGGTACTCTCCATTAACTCTTATCCCTAACTGTTCCCATTCTAGGCTTCTGAAAACCTCCTGTAAGCACACGGTAAATAGCAGTGGGGAGATTGTGTCGCCCTGCCTTACACCCTTCTTGATTGGTATTCTGTTGCTTTCTTTATGAAGCACTATGGTAGCAGTTGATCCCCTGTAGATTTCTTCCAAAATGTTTATATATATTTCATCTAGGCCCTGATTCCGCAGTGTCTGCATGACTGCTGATATTTCTACTGAATCAAATGCCTTCTCGTAATCTATGAAGGCTATGTATAGTGGTTGGTTATATTCTGAGCATTTCTCTATTACCTGATTGATAGTATGAATATGGTCGATTGTTAAGTAGCCTGTTCGAAATCCTGCTTGCTCCTTTGGTTGATTGAATTCTAATGTTTTCTTCACTCTGTTAGCAATTACCTTTGTAAATGGCTTGTATACTACTAAGAGCAAGCTGATCGGCCTGTAATTCTTTAACTACTTGTCATCGCCTTTCTTATGTATTAAGATGATGTTAGCGTTCTTCCAAGACTCTGGTGCTCTTCTCGTCAAGAGACACCTCGTAAACAGGGTGGCTAGTTTTTCTAACTTCACATCACCGGTATCCATCTATTCACATCACCAGTATACATCTATTCACATCACCGGTATACATCTATATTGGAAAACCTGGACACTTTTATTGCAAGGCAACGAAAATTTACTGAGAAGAGTATACGAGTACACTTGTGTCTCACGAAAAACCATGCAATGCTTCACCGCATGGCATGAGCAAAGAAGCAGCACGTCGGTTCTGATTTTCTTTGTATATGTGAAGGGAAACATTTTGTGAAACATTAATTATTTTCATACTGTTCCTGGATCATTTATCTACACAATGTATATTCTGAATTTCTTTTGTTTTGAATACTTCGGTATATGTAGTGTTTTTTTATTACACTGTTTTCCAGCTAGTGATGAAAAATTTCACACTTTTCACATTTTGATTCATTCTAAAATATTTTTGTTGCTCTACAACATATATTTTTTGGAAAGAGCATTTCATTCTGCAAAGTTCGATATGCTACAATGCATGCTGGAGTACTTTTCAAACTGGCGAAAACTGATCTTCTCGAGACACATGGAAAACAATCCATTCACGCGCAGTAACAAACGAGTTAACAGCAGGGTAAAAGAAAACAAGAGTTTGTGATGAGCAACTAGCACCGGAAATCTGCGCAAGGCTATGAACATCTGGGCCTGCTCATGAAAAGAATAAGGACGGGCTGGAGTGGACATAGCCGACATCGCTGCACCACTATGCGAAATTCACCGTTCTCCCTGAATTGAAAATTGTACAGCCACTGCATTCCACTAGTTATATCATACAGGGCTGAAACATGAAAATAATAAAGAAATCAAAGGGGAGATTAAGGCTTTGATCTGGGAGAGTTGGTTCATAACAATAGGAAGGCACAACACGACTGAGACGAGGGACGAAGAACATGCAACACACACGAGTGCTGTGAGACCAAGGACTGCCACATCCTACATTTAAACAAAACATAAACCAAAAAATGAGAAGCATCATGAACCAACCCTTCCACTTGATGAAAAAACTCGTACCCCACAAAGCAGTCTCTGCCCGTAACAGTTCAGCCAAGTCGAGCAGTTAAGCGAGGCAAGGAGCATTTACAAGAGCAGCGCTGAGTCGCCACTTTCTCAGGCCTGCTCTTTTCATGCAGAGGCCCATCCTCACTGTTTAGTGTTGGCAAGGCACCTGCTCTAGTCATTGTACAGTTGATTTTGGTGGGTAGCCGACTTACACCAGGAGTGACCTTTGGATGAGATGTGCTTCTTGCTATGGAGTGCTTCCATGTGCCAGCAACACACTCAATAGTCTGCTCAAATTACACAGCAGCCACACTTGCACCCAGAGCAACCAGATTGGGAGAGAGAGAGCTGCCAACAGTGCACAGATTTGGATAACTTGATCCTTTCCCCTTTCCACATCTCCCTGCATGCTGCCAGCACACACGTTGGCACAAGAGAAGAGAAAAAAAGACTACGTGGCGACAAGTCCTACAACTCCGCCTAGTCTTCACTGATACAAGTGATTTTTGTGGCCATCGTTTCGCAAGGCAATAAGCTCCTACGACTGAAGTCATCTGGTGATTTACTGAAAAAGTAGTTCAGAACCTCACGGACGAAGAGAGTAGAGTAGATCACAGAAAAAACAGGGGTAGCCAGTATCCCAACAAGCAAAGAAAGAATGCTTGAGAAGGCTGACGCAAGTGACAGCTATGCCACCTTGCACACACTTGCATTTACCGTATTTACTCGTATAATAGGTGCACCCCCAGTTTGGTTGCAAGATATCAGAAGGGCAGTTTCCTGGGCGTCTGAGTAACTTTTGCACTGGTGCCGGCATGGCTCCGGCCGCACGCGCTCTGCATGGAACCTGCGATTGCATCCTCATCAAGAGCACTTTGAGTTTCCTGTCTGGAAAAGCGTCATCATTATCACGTTCGCTATCCCATTCGCAAGTTTAAAAGCTATTTGGCTTTCCAACATGAGCTTTCGCCTTTGCTGCCAACAAGCAGACTTGCACAAACTCTGCGGACTTTTCTTGCCGTTGATTTCCCGATCGTGAACCTAAACATCATATGACGCACGCTACTCTTGGATCAGTGCTTGAGTGCGATCTTTTTGATGCCCAATCTTCATGTTTTTTTGTACAAACTTCCTGTGACAACATGCTTGCTAACCCTGCAAGCTAGGCCTAATTAGCATTGGCGGTTGCGGACGACCAGTTGCAGTTCTGTACAAAATTAACGTAACTCTTTGTGGTGAAGGGGGCACGGGTGGCGCTTGTAACAGTTGAATGGTGGTTTGTGATTAGATTGAAATGTATTTAGATATGAGCAATCAGTATCGTTCAACGCACAAAATATTGGTCATGATAATGCGCATTATCTAGATGGCCTGAAACTTAATCAGAAATTTCTGCGCTGGCGCTTTCTTTTCGTAGCTTTTTTTCTGCCTTCATTTAGTTGGCAATGTGGTTCTTCAAAATAAATTTTCGGAAATTTGAATGCTTGTAAGCACACCACGCCACATGCCTCGATTCTGAAACTGCATGCTGACCATGTTTTGTGCTAGTGTAGCTGATGAAGAAGGTTGTTTCGGCAGTAGTGCGGATATTCGCGACCTCGGAGATTTATGTTATCAGCAATCAATGCTGTACTCGGAAATAAAATTTGCAGAAATTTTACGCCACATAATAGGTGCACCCCGAACTTGGCCCCCGATTTTCAGAGAAAAAAAGTGCGCCTAATATGCAGTACTTAAGAACACATGTGTACGTATTCCAAAAGCCATTACAAGGAAGTACTGAGTAATAAGTACGACAGACATGCACCTTACCTACCAGTACTGGCATGCCACTTCATGAACGCCATCCTCTCTGCAGAGGACGACATTCATGAAGTGGCTTGACAGTTGCAGCGGAATACCACAGTCACCCCCTATCCCTTACCCACGTGAGGAGTAGCAGCCTAGAAGGCCGCTTTTTATTTTGTATGGGGACCTACCAGGAAAGGCCTGTCGGAACTGGGCAATCATAGCCTCTGCCTCCGAGTGCTCCATTCCAAGTTGTTGGGCAAGCGAGCGGGCACCTTGGCCATAGGTGATGCCATAGCAGATCTGCACAAGAGAAGAGAGCAACGCCCGAGATAACACTAGCTGCAAGCTTCCACATCAACAAGAGCAATCTGCCTAACCTTGCCTGGGGCTGACAATGTGGGACTTGTGTATGGGCTGTTCTCATTTCATATTGCATATCTTTATGTTGGAGCGAAACAGAAGGACTTGTTTATATGGGCTTCTTTATATATTAGACACAGCCAAATGAATACACCAGACAATTAGGCCAGGGAAATCATAGGAGACATTAATTGCTGTTTATAACTGAAGTATAATAATTATTTTATAAACTTAAATGAGTAAAACTGTACGAAAAATCACATTTTCTGTCGTTGCCATGCCGACCCACAACCTTCAAATGACGTGTTACGTGCTCTAATGGTTCAGAAGGCAGATCTTCGTTCATTTTACTGGGTATTTATGTGTGTGTCATCCGTGTTGATGTTAGCAAGCACCATACAAATGAAGCACCCTTACCATTTACTTTTTTTCAACTGATGCAAAGATTTTCGATGATCTTCATAAGGTTCGCACTCCATTTGATTGTAGGCTTTGATGAGTGTTGTCAATGCCACAGTACAGTTAAATCCCGGCCCCACTGCGGTGTTCTAGCAGTTAAGGTACTCAGCTGCTGACCCGCATGTTGGGGGATCGAATCCCAGCTGCGAAAGCTGCATTTCCGATGGAGGCGAAAATGCTGTAGGCCCGTGTGCTCAGATTTGGGTGCACGTTAAAGAACCCCAGGGGGTCAAAATTTGCGGAAACCTCCACTACGGCCTTTCTCATAATCATATGGTGGTTCTGGGACGTTAACCCTACATATCAATTATATCAGGTTTAATCCCTTTTAAGAGACACTGATGTACTAAGAGTCAGTTGGGTATAAATGACACCAGTGTGTCTACATGAAAATATGGGTTTATCACAAAATAATGCCGTGGTACCCTGCTTGTAAGAGACACTTTATATGAAATACAAGAATTGCTCCTTAGTGTATGTCTTTTATAAAGGGTCTGAACTGGTCATTTGCACATCGGTTTGGTTGAAACGTTGTCAAGATTGAGGTCAAATAAGCATTTCACCACCTTGAAATAAGAAACCGACGATAAATAGTGACTGTTTAGACTGAGTTGACAAATTCAGCTCAACACTGTTGGTCTTCAAAATTGAACTATTATAGGTGCTATGTGTATAAGCATGTACAACATGAACCCATGCAATTTTCACAGACTGTGTTAAAGATGTTGCTAACTTTATAGTTCTAACTCAAGTTCTCTCTTCCTTGTTTTCCAACCGTAACGGTCACTGCACCATAGAGCAGAGGTGGATAAAACTGATGCACAATATAATCGGCACAGCATCAGTTAACATTGGATGCCCAGTTTTTGAGAATGTAATAAAGACCGAAAGTAAAGGCAAGGACTTCCCAGTACAGCACTCACACACAAAATTTCAATAGCAGCTTTTTACTGCTCCATAGGCAACACCCACTAATAGTTGAACCCCATAATATAAAACACACGTAGGGGAGCATTTTGTCTTCTTTATATGAGGTGTCCTTTTAAAATAGGATACAGTGTGGACTATTTATAACAAAACCGCTTACAGAGCACAACCGGCTTTTGTGGCTTTTTCAGACTCCCGTTTATGCCTCTATAGGACACCATGCATACACATATTGCTTATTGGGGAGTACCCCAAGATAGACAACCGGTTATAATGTGGTTGCCGGAAAACCCTCAGAGAAGTGAGGCATCAAGCATGCTCATGGTTCTCAGTGCAGGTGTGCTTGCTGGGGAGAGAGTGACACGATGGCATTATGGAAGAGGAGATGCAGAATGAACCAAAAGGAGCGGGGGGGGGGGGGGGGGGGGAGAGAGAAAAACAAAGCCACCCGCATATTCCCACAGGGGGAACTCAAGCAAATGTGTCGCAGATTGGTGGGGGTATCTCGTGAATGTTGGGCAATTGGGTATGGTTCAGGGACTCACCGGGTATCGTTCATCTCAAGTAGGTGTGCGGGTCGAGGCGGGTAACGGTAACTGTACATCACGCTCATCACGGTACGTGCTCATGCATCGAGTCCTTAAACAATGCGCACACCAGGTACGACTTGAACGGCTCCAGCAGTCTCTCGTCATCATCATTGTCGCTGTTAAAGTTGTCGTTGACGCCGCGGCCCTTCAAGTCGACACTGCCACACGTGCTCCAAAAAACATGTAGCGCGTTGATCTGCTTCGTTTTGTTCTCGATGCTGCCGACCAGCGTAAGGTCGTTGTCGAAGTCGTGAAGTCGCGTTTGAAACGAACGGCCGGCTGCGCAAACTGCTTGGCTTGCCCCGCACCTTTCGCAGCGCGCTCACGTTCACGAGCAGTTGCCATCTGTTGGCATCTCTTGCTTCCATCGCATCTACTCTAGTAAAGCAAAGCGTGAAGTCAAGCGAAAGAGGGGGAGTGAGAGGGGATGAAAGAGGAGAGAGGGAGGGGAGACGAGCCAAGCATGCCCAGCGGGGGTGTGGGCGCCGCTGCCGAGTGACATGGTGCGACTAAGAAATGCTCTGCATTTAGAAGAAAAGGGGGGGATGATGAGGTGTAGGTGTCATGATTTGTCCCGAAGACCGTGCATGAAAGGGAGGGTCGGGGCGCCGCTCTCTGATAAGGACGACACCACACGCATGATAAAGTAACAGCTACTGACTGCCAAGCAGTGTTCGTCAATGTTTATTTCCCAAGCACGACCAAGGTTGCCTGCCGAACTTGGCAAGGTAATGAAAATAGGCTAAGCAGGGCGCCACACGCTCGTTACACCCCTCACCCTGAGTTATTGCACACACAAAAAAAATTACAAGTCCCAGCTGGTTCAGCATTGCTTTAGGTAAGCGAAAAGCGGTCTGGTGCCCTTCGTCGATTGATTCCGCCGCCTGAGTACAGGTGTTGAGAAACTAGGTGCGGTAGCACTAAGCGCTGCCTGAGCTGCTCTCGGTTCCTCCTGAGATTCTGCCGTGGTTGGCAGGGATGGCACTGAACATACCAGTGGTCCAACTAGTAGCGCACACCTGGAGGCACCTGTTTCTTGCGAAATGGCAGTCTCACTGGCGGCAACAGGTGCTGCCGCAGATGCAAGCCCGGTTCCACGGTCAGCCCTCACATGGTCAGCATGTCGGTGCCATGTGGTTCCATCCTGCATTCGTACGAGCAGGGAGGAGGAGTTTGCAGGCGAGACCACTTGTCCAGCAGACCGAGGTGGGTCAGAATGGAAATTCCTGGCAAATACTGGCATTCCAGGCTCGGGCATTGGCCCAGGACGGCACCCTTTTTCAGCAGCAAGCTTCTGTTTCAGCTGTTTGAGGAGCGCCGTATACCAGAGGTCTAGGGTGCAGAATGTCCAACGGTGTCTTCACCATCTGTCCCAGCAAAAGCTCGCAGGGAGCACGGCCGGTGACTTCATGAGGTGTGATTCGATACTGAAAGAGTTTGCGGGCAACCTGCGTACGAAAATCCCCGACCTGGCACTTCTTAAGTTTGTCCTTAATCGTCTGCACCACCCGCTCTGCTGCACTGTTTGAAGCAGGGTGATACGGAGGGACCGTAATTCGGCGGATTCCGTTCTTTGTCAGCCAGGCCAGATACTATGCGCTGGCGAAAGCGGGCCCATTATCGGAGACTATGATGTCCGGCAGCCCCTGGGCTGCAAAGATCTGCCGCAGTGCTGCAATGGTCACACCTGCTGACCGAGTGGTGACAGGTATAACCTCCACCCACTTTGAGAGTGCGTCAACCCCCTCCAGGAAGTAGTGACCTTTGAAGGGGCCCCCAAAATCCACGTGAAGGCGGGACCAGGGCCTTTATAGGAATGACCATGGGGTGATCTCCACATGACGTAAAGCCCGCTGATGTTCCTGGCCGACTTTGCAGCTTTGCACTTGGCAGCTCCGCAAATACTCGAATGCTTTGAATATTCAAATGAATATTAGGGTTTTGGAATTCGCTTCGATATTAATTGAAGTTATAGCGAAAATGTCCGAAGTATGCAAAATGAACAAATAAATGCTTATTAGTCTACTCATTAGCTCCTGCAAGTGTGGTTTCATTGCATTGAAGGGGTACCAAGCCATGAAAACACCTGTCCAGGGAAAGTCCACACTGCCTGCCTTAATTGAAGGTTAACGAACATATTGTAATGAAAAACTTATTTATTAAATTAAATACGATGGACTGTGTTCGGTGAACAAGATGGCGACAGTTCGTCAACAGCCAGCAAGCGACGACGTCTTTCTGTTTCATGCAGCAAGGCTGTGCCAGCTGTTGTTATTATTATTACCCTCTCATCAATTTATCATTTTTTAAGTTTAAAAGCTGGTTATACAGGCCTATATGCTCTAAGCATGGTAAATACTAAAACACAACATACTTCAAAGCTTATCACATGCATTCTACCGAAAGTCAAATCCTGGCGTTGTTCCCACTTTCTTTGAGTCAAAAAAATGGCATTTGCACAGGTAGTGAAGCCATCAGGGTCTGCTGATTTGCAGCAATTTTCAGAGCAGCAAAATTTACATTTTGGAGCACTCTAGAGCAGAAAAATTTTCTAGTTTGGAGCACTTTGGAGGAGCAATAGTTTTTATTTTGGAGCAATCTGGAGTACGTAACTTCACACCGTGAAGAAAAAGCAAGTTGCATTTACATTCAAGGATATTATTTATTATTTTGGGGCACTTGTGAAGAGCTAGAAACATTTCAACTCACTGTAAATCTCATGGAGCAAGACGCCTTAGGAGCACTCCCTATTTCAATTGATGATGCAAAAATAATGTGATGCTGTTGAGCATTCTGGAAAAACTTCCCAAGTGACTGTTTTCGTAGCTAATAAGCAGAATACTGGTTAAATAAAATAGTACATGAAATAACATCGTAATACACCCTGGTGGTAATCAGCAGATTTGGTAGACAAACGCAGAGACGTACAACCCTAGAGACTCACACAGTCCAAACTACACTTGTATAAGATGAATTCAAGGATAAAAAAGGTTCTTTTCCTTCCATACTGATTATATTGCTCAATAAAACATGATGTCATTAAGCTAGTCTCAAAAAGCCGACCTCCTCCGGCACTCATCTCTCTGTGCTAAAACTGCATGATTTAACAAACCTTGTTTTCCTTTTGCAGCAGTGTTTTATGTGACTAGAGCGTTCTGTCTACATACCGAAAACCCCCTATAGTGTCCTCTAGAAAGCAGTGCAAAAAGAAAACAAAACCTTATGCATTCGCCTAAGAGAACTCAACAGCGAGAGCCATTTTGTTTTTATTGTGATAGCAACTATACATACATTCTCGACTGATTTTTGCCTTCACCAGGAGTGTAGGCAGAAATATTTCACTTTTTTTGAAGGGGGCCATCTTGATTTGTACAGAGGGGGTGAGGGGAGGGTGGGTGCGTGGGGTTATTTTGCGTTATATAAGCCATAGAGAAACAAACTTTGTGGAGGCGGGGGGGCGTTCTCGATGTGCCCCGCCCCCCTGGCTGCACCACTGGCTGACACCATCATGTGTTGTGTGCTGTCCAAATTCATAACATCCTCCCATGCATTGTGTATTAGACGCGGACAAGAGCGCGTGAGCGGGGGCGACAAACGCGGCTAAAGCAGAGATAAAAACGCCGACTTATTTCCTTTGCACAGAGGACAGATGCAATAACAGCACCCTGCATGTCAGGCCCGCCATCGATTGTAATTCAAGCAGAGAGGAACGTGCCACCCGTCTTCAAGAAGCAGGAAGGAACTAGGACCACAAGTAGAGGCAGTGGGGCGGGGCATTGTTATATTGTCACAGTACTTCAAGGGTGTAATCGCTGGCGCACTCACTATTTCGGTAGGCATTAAATATGGCTGGTATACTCGTCTTCTACTTTTTTACTCTAAGCGCAAACCGACTGGATTAAAGTGCTTCACTTTCTGGATTGGTCATATAGGGGAGCGCACTTAGCCTTGATTTCAAGGCGGCCACACCATAGTCCCGCCATTTTAGAGGTTCATTCGTATGCACCGTTCGGGGTTCATAAAATCACACTTATCTAGACCAGCAAAGCGCGTGCCTGCCGACATTGTGGTTGGCCGTAACTTCTGTGTCACGCCAGCTGCAAGCTACCGTTTATCCTTACATTATACCACAAAGACTTAACATGCAGTATGACCATGTTTGGTATTATTACGAAGTTTCTCCTTACTTATTCCTGAAAAAAAAAAACTACAGCTGGAGCAACCGGATGGGCGCTGTAAACAAGTCTCATTATACCTGTACATGCGTCAGCGTGCTAGCTTTCCGGGAGTCTCTATTCGTCCAATTCGCTGTACGGATATCGAACGCCGCGCGTGCAGCAAGTTTTGTGCACGTGCGCAAACCTCCGAAATGGCAACCCCCGCCGCTAGTGCTTCTCGCGAATGACATCAAGCCTCATTATTTGGTACAACAATACAATTTGTTGTATTACATTCATTCATAAGAGCGCAAGTGAAACTAAGAAACCATGCCTTTTGTACCCAGTGTTGCATAACTCAACAGAACGCTGGCTAAAGGGACAATGACCACTCCTGTTGCCAAAGCGGTTTTCGTGCTGTCAGTTATCTAAACGCATAGCAGAGGTTAGTAGCACAGAACGTTTACGAGCAGTATCCTTATGCCTCGAGATATAGCCAGCGACAGCGCCATTCAAGTGATGCAGCCTCCCCCACCTCAACCCCTAAAAAAACGAAGCAATAAATGCGATGCCGTGATGTTCATTTTTTTTTTTAACCGTCATCTACAGATTCTGGAAAGTGAGGGGCGTACGTGTAACATGATGTAGCCATTTCACAGTGGGTCTTCTGACAAGCACCGCCAGCAATGACACCACTACTGAAAGCTGCACATACTAAAACAGAATTGCGACTGCCCTGACCAAAAGGCCCGCTTTCATGAATGAGATGACATTTCAAAAGGAAGCACGCGAAAATTTTGTATTTGGACCCTGGCGATCTCGAGTTCGAAAGGGCAATGTCTTTTGGGGGATTTTACCACATTGAGAATACAAACGTGAATGTGCCGGCGGAAGGCATTACGAAAAAGCTGTTCCAAATGAATCACCAGGAATAAAGTATATTTGAAGAAAAGTGTCAAGGCGTTCCCACCATTCACATGTTCTTCTGTGGACGCGAAGCACAGAAAATTAGATCACGATGCCCAGAAGTAGACGTGACAGACATTCTGGTGGCAAGCGTGAAGTTATTAGTACACATCACTTTAATTATCTGTCGTGCAACTCTTCAAATGAGCTATCAGCAGCGTTCCTGGAAGGACTGCCGATGAATAGCTGTTGCAGCTTACTGCTACCAATTTGACTACACGTCACGAGCCTCTACAGAGAGTGCGTTTCATCGTTAAGCGGACTTGCACGACAAAAGTTGCATCGGTACCAAACATAGCAACGTGGATTATTCAGGACGCACGCGCAACCGCTGCTTATTCAGCGGAATGACTCTAGGTATGTGATTGTGACTTTGGTGGGCCCCAGAAATAGGTGCGCATGTTCTAACACGCCGGCGTGGATGTTGTCAGTGATAGACGCTTCCAAATCTGACTTTGGCGCAGTTGGGCGCAATTTTCGTCGATATTATCAGGATGGCGCAATAAATTTGATTTGGCGCACTTTGTCGCAGTTGGCACAGGAGTGGGATTACTGCACAAGCCAAGTTTCAATTAAAAAAAAAACACTGTGCTGGTTAGTTAGGTAAGGGCAAATATGCTCGTCTTTCTGTATAATGTCTTATATATGCTATTCAAATTGAATTCGAAATTATTTGACCGAAATCGCTATCCACTTCAAAACTAAAATTCACTATTTGAACAAGCCTAGCGACAATGCTTTGACACGATCGATCTTTCGCCTTTGACCACCAATAGGCAGATTTACAAGCTTGGAAGACTTTTTCAGGATGGCTGCGGTGGCTGTTCTCTCGAGCGCAAACCGAAACTTTGTTTCACACGTGTCACCCTCATTTTAGTTCATGAGCCCGATCGCTTCTACGCCCGGTCACCACGTTTCTTGGGCAAGCGTCTTGCGGCAGCATGCGTCGAGATTGCAAACTTCATGCTAGGCCTAATGAACACTGGCTGCCTCGTCAGCAGTAACCATGGACTATCAAGACTATCAAAGTTATGGTTTGCTGCCAACTCAATGAAAGATTTTGCAGCTGACAAAACAGGAAGGGGTGACTTGAATCCTCAATGAAAATGAGGGTGTGTGTGTTCAACACTTGTGAGGCAGATCCTGGTCGCCACTGTTTATGGCATCGCGCACACACCCGGAAAATCGAAAGTATGCGGAAATTTCAATTGCAGTTTCATGTAGAGTTTTCGTATAGTGTGGCACTATAGCAAAGTCTACATAAACAAGGTGGTCCAAAGAGTTATTTGTCAACTTTCTATTATGGCACATTTATTTTCCACGTTCATCATGTCAGCACCGCAAGTTCACAGATGCTAACTATTTGACAATTATCAAATATCAGTAGATGCTAACATACGTTTCAGTCACATGCCTCGATACAGTCAAACGCCTTTATAAGAGAGACTGATACAAGAGACACCAGTGAGCCTGAAAGAAAATACAAGTTGATAGGAAAATGCATACAAGGTAGTCTACTTATAAGAGAGACATCTCAGATAAAAGACAAGAATTACTACTCGGAGCGTGCCTCTTATAAAGAGGTTTAACTGTATTTGGAATCATGTGGCTGTCCGTTTGCGTTTTGCACAAGCGTACCCTTTCAAAAATGTTGTTTTGGTTACAGTGTGGTATCGCTCATAGTGTGGATATTCAAGACTCCGGTGACTTGCACTACATACTGTACCATGTTTTTACTTTCTGGTCAAGCCCTATTTCAATGAAGGCACATTTGTCTCTTTTACACTCAGTTCTCTCTAATGTCTATGTCTCTTATATATAGATAGGTTAGACTGCATAGCTTGTCAGACTCAAACACGCATTGCATGAACAGATTGTCTTCATTAACGTGCCTGCTTTGTCTTTTGCCGCAGAGAAGCATCCACAACATCCTCTTCACAGTGACTCCAGAGGGCAGCCATGCGGCGGAAAACGTCACCACCGGCACGGAACACTCCACACAGCTGCTCGTCTTGCGAGAGGTGCGCAAGAAGACGCAGTTCCAACTGGGAATAGTCGGCAGTCAGCAGAACCGCACCTGCAAAAAAAGCAAACAGTACAGAACGGCTTTTGAACGAGAGGGTCTTACAGCAGGACTACAATAAACTGAATAGGGAGACTCGTAAAAATTAATGATCATCATCTGCCCATTCATTCTTACTGTATATCAAGAGCCAATCGTACGATTTATTCTGAAATTAGGTTTATTATCCGTTGCCATATAGAAGAACTTGACATATATTCATTGATAACTAACCCCAAGGTTACTGAAAAAAAAAAGGTATCACGAAGACAATAACTTATCGATAAATGGGTTAACACAATACTGTACAGACATGTGACACACTGCAATTGACATAACCTGGATGCCAAAATGTGGCACTTTTCTCACACTGGAATCTATAATCATCCTCACAATGGAAGCATCGATGGCCTGGCTCAGGTAGGGTACAGTCTTTGCGACAGACATTTGTTGCATTTTGTTTTAGATGCAGAACAAAGGAGCCAACATCAAATAAACAGACACCTTAACTTATTGCTTATAAGATGGCAATCTCGAAGAAGCAAATATTGTGAACAAGAGTTGCAAAACAAGGCACGTTGAGCTTGAAGCTTGCGTTTAGTTACGGCTGTATTGACCAGAAAGTACTTTGCTATATGGAAAGTTCATTAAACAGAAACACAGCCCTTTATGTAAACCACAGTAGCTGAAAGATCACTTTTAGCACAAAAGTGCTGCAAGAATGTTTTTATAATATGGCTGTTAGAAAATTGCTCCACCACAAAAATGACACAGTAAAGTGAATGGAAAAATGACCACCTCTGTGGCCCAATTTATAGAATATCAGATGCATTATCCAAAGGTTGTATGTTCAGTCTCCACATGCAGCAGCTTTATTTTTCATCCACCATACATATGTATTTCCCTTTCATTTATGTCATAGTTACTAAAGCAGAGTAATAACACAAAGTGCTGCCCTCCATCCTTTTCTTACCTACACCGTCTCTTGGTTTAATTAGGCTCTATTCCCCCACCGCAACTTACCATGAATACCTTGGGTGTTGCTGAAAGTGGTGCATGGCCAATGCTATCGTGCTTACTGAACCGAAGCACTTACTACCCTCGACTCAGCCTGATAGATGTGGATCAAAAACCATCATATGAAAAAAAAAATAAAACAGCCACAGTGTAAAACTGCATGCAAAGCAAGGTGACAACCTGAACCATGGCATTTCCATTCGTGGTGGCCACATTTTCTTACTAACATTCTGCGTTGAATGAACAATCTAACAAAACCTGTCGAAGAGTCGCGAACTTCGGTCATGCTTTGCACTGATTCAAAAAGAAGTCTTGTAAGTCAGCTTTAGCACACATCATACTGACAATTTAATAGACATATCAGTGCACTAGGTAACCACAAGGAACTTTCTTTGCAAAAAAAATTTTTTTCTTGTTGTAAATCTCCCTGTTTCGATCGCTATCACTGGGAATTTATTTTCCCACAAAGTCCAGAAGAGTTTTTTTTTTTTTTAATTCATGAGCAGGCAGAGTAAGCTCTTCAACTTTCTCGAACAAGTAGTGGCCACCTCCCCAGCTGCACAGGCTTGTTGTTTGACACGTTGGAATAATAAAAAAAGCCATTATGCCTGTTTCGTCTGACAAAACTGATTAGTGCTGTGAAGTGTTCCTAAAGTGAGTGCAACCTCCTATTTCGTGGCCTGCCCCTTCTGAGCATACTGGATTCATCCCAGTCACACAGTATTTGGAGTCGGCTTTTGCAGCTGCTGCACTGGTTGTGTCATAATCCCAGAGGGTAGTGACAAGTACCTGGCGGAGCCTAGACTACATGACTTCGCTAGACATACAGATGGTGCCTACTGTTTTTACTTATCTAAAAAAAGGCCTATTAATAATTTTCATCAATTCAAATACGGTAAATTCTAGATAGTAATTTACACTTTAGGGGACCTAAACATTTTTTTCATATCTTTAGAAAGTCTCATAATTATGACTCCAAGCAAAATGCCAACTAGAATCGTGATGTTTATAGTTTCTCAGTGATGCAGCAGCATCACGGACATGCAGCATGCAGAATTGCATGCAGCATGCAGAACAGCATGCAGAATTGCATGCAGCATGCAGAACAGCATGCAGAATTGCATGCGGTTTTTAGACATCAAATGATAATACTGTACCTATAATTATACAACCTGTACAAGCGACTGTAATTAAGGGACAAAATGTAACTACAAAACTACACAAAAAAGCTACAATAAACGGAGAAGGCACACACACAAGCTGCCCTTGTGTGTGTGCCTTCTCTGTTTCTTGTCGCTTTTTTGTGCAGTTTTGTAGTTACGAATTACCAACTCGCCCAGCGTTCTGTACTCTTAAAAACAAAATGGGTTGTCTCACAACAACTCAAACCTTGTTCTAATTCTTAGCACGCTTTCCAACAGGAGATCAGTATACAATAACGAAGTTTAGAAACCGTTCGGCATGCAATAGATTAAGGCCAGGCTGTCCTCTGGCTTTTTTTTTTTCTTCCTCAATCAGCAAATGACTGTTAGTGCGCGAGGTTTGGCTAGCTTGGTTTTTTGGTAGACAGGCAATTTTCCTTATTTGAGAATGTTTATGACGTGTAGATTGGAGGCAATTGCAAATCCCAGACCTTCCAAGCAAACCAAGCCCAGGCCACAAGTTTGGCGGAGTTGATAATAAAGTTGTTACCACCACCAAACACACCAATGTTAAGCAAGGACAAAGGCAGCAGCTAGTTCTTGGCATAGACAGGCAAAATTTTAGGGGTGTGCAAATATGAGATTTTCTGAATACGAACTGAATACATAGCCTTGAATATGAATTCAATATGAATACATAGCTTCATATAAGAATTGACTATGAATACATAGCTTTGAAAATGAATAGAATAGGAATACATAGTTTTCAATTGAAATACAGAGCTTCACATATGAGTCAAATATGAATACATTGATTTGAATACAAATGCATAGCTTCAAACACATAGCTTCAAATATGTAGCTTCAAATACAAATGCATAGCTTCGAATACATGGTTTTGAAAACGAATACTTAGCTTCAAATATGAATGCATAACTTCGAATACAAACAAAATACATATTTTCAAACATAAATTGAATATGAATCAAATACATAGCTTCAAATACGAAGGGCAAAGCTGAGAGATTCAATTTTTATTTTCAGTCTGTTTTCACCCAATCAGTTTGCCTACCCAGCGGCCCTCAGTTAGTCAGAAAAAATTCAGAAATGATTGAAATATGTTTTACTGAACGTGGAGTTTTAGCTCTGCTACAAAAAATTAAGGTAAATGCGGCACCTGGTCCTGATGCTATTCCTAATTATGTTTTAAAAAACTGTGCTGCCTCACTTGTACCATTTCTAGCCTTGCTCTTTGAAAAATCAATGGCGCTTGGCTGTTTACCTGACGACTGGAAAAGTGCCAACGTTGCCCCTATCTTCAAAGCTGGAGACAAAACGCGAACAAAAAATTACAGACCGATCTCGCTAACTTGTGTAATATGTAAATTGGTGGAACACATTATCTATACCAATTTAATCTCCCATCTTCAAGATAATAACTTTTTCTGCACTACGCAACACGGTTTCAGAAAAGGGTTGTCCTGCGATACTCAACTAATTGAATTTAGTCATGATATAGCTGCCTCGATCGACAATGGATGCCAAGTGGACTGTGTATTTTTAGATTTTCAAAAAGCCTTTGATTCTGTATCACACAATTTATTATTACTTAAACTGTCTGCTCTAAATATCCCTCCCTCTTTGTTGAAGTGGCTTGAAGCGTATGTTGTTGGTAGAAAACAGCGGGTTGTTCTCGAGGGAGTGAATTCATCTGAAGTCGATGTCTTATCAGGGGTCCCCCAGGGATCTGTTCTGGGACCCCTTCTTTTTGTGATATTTATAAATGATATAACCCAACAAGTATCCAGCCGCATGCGCATGTATGCAGATGACTGCTGCATATATCATGACGTCACGTCTGCTCAAGATTCTGCTCAACTACAAACTGATCTAAATGCTGTGTTATCATGGTGCACCACATGGAACATGACACTTATCTTTTCAAAATGTAATACCGTTCGCTTCACAAACAAAAAGAACATTCTAAATACGAATTACTTTCTTGGAGACAATCGTTTGGAAGTTGTGTCTAAATATAAGTACCTAGGCGTTTTCTTTACGAGCAACCTATCCTGGAACGACCACATTGAATACGTCGGTGCTAAAGCGAGCCGTGTATTGAACTTCCTGAAGCGTAACTTTAAACAGGCCCCACCTAAACTAAGGGAAACGCTCTATCTTTCTAACGTTCGCTCAATTTCAGAGTACAATTGTGTGGCTTGGGATCCAGACACTAAAATATGTACTAATGCGCTAGAAAGGGTTCAGAAACGAGCAGCGCGTTTTGTGTCTGGTAACTATGATTTCACTAACCGCTCTTCGTGCATTCGTAAACATTTGGGTTGGCCTCTCCTGCAGGACAGGCGCAAATTCTTAAGATTAAATCTATTTCATAATATTTATATTGGTAGCACTGGTTTAAATAAAGACGTGTACATTAAAGATCCCACTTATGTATCCTCTCGCCTAGATCACTCCCGCAAAGTTCGCGAATACCGATGTCGCATAAATACTTACAAAAACTCCTTCTTCCCGAAAATCACACACGAATGGAACAACCTACCAGAATATATTGTATCCACCCCGCCACCCTCATTTCAAAATGCTCTGTCACAATTTTTGTTGAAATGAAAGATGCCAATTTCTGTCTGCATTTCTGTTTGTGTTTTACTTTTCCTTGATTGCCTCGTGTTCCCGAGAATGTGTACACACTGTATAAGCTGAGCATGCTTACTTGTTTTGTTATCGGTATTCATACCCTGTATCAATTTCAAGTTTTATGTCTCCTCCCCCCTACTGTAATGCCCAAATAGGGCGCTGTAGGTACTAGAATAAATAAATAAATAAAAATACATA